ATACACCTGCTACTGGTAGGTACGTAGTCTAAACAGCCGTATGCACTGCTCACCGTCGAACGCTCCGTATCCCGGACTCTAGCATGGAGATCATCAGGAGAGAATGCGTCGCTGTTTCGGGCTCTTCCTCTCTACAGCTTTTCTGACGCACCGAGCCCCCTCACCGATGTGAAATTTTCCGAAATTTGGAAAAACAGGTCTTATTTCACACCGGGTGAGAATAGCCAACGGTGGCAAGTCTCACCCGGGGTGAGAGGTCGATTGTATTTTTATTCTCACCCCGGGCGAGGGTAGCTACTTCCTTTCGTGTTTGCTTTAGTTTTAAGGGTGACTTCTCGGAGTACCTTTTGAAGGTATTTTCAAATGAAGTATAATAGTCCGGGAAAGTTGCCCCAACCACAACTGAAGTACCCTGGGTGAGAATATATGCTATCGACTTCTCACCGCCACTGTGAAACACAGGTTTTTAAAAATAATTTCTGAAGATGTGGACGATCAAATTGACAAAAAAACAAAGAAGAAAATTAAGTCATAGCACAAAAGTAAACTTAACTTCTCGCAGAACCTTTTGAAGGCATTTTCAAATGAAGAATAGAATCGAATAGTCTGGGAATGTTGCCCCAACCACAACTGAAGTGTATCAGAATATTCAGACAATTAAAAATCTCTAGATCTAGAAATTGAATTCGATGTATAAAAATGCTTCTTCCCAGTCCTCGCAGAGAATGGCAGAATCACCGATGACGCTTAAATCTCGCAAATTACCCAAAAATCTCAAGAACGGAAACTGTTCAGAGCGATAAAGATCTTGAAAGTTTCTTTTCCCGAGCGTTCTGAGAAAACGTCACTTCGTAAAAAGAATCTGGGGTTTTTCAGGGGAGTGGTTATTCTCACCCTGGGTCAGAATATACAATCGACCTATCACTGCCACCGTGAAACATTCGGGTTTTTTTTAAATTTCTGAAGATGTGGAAGATCAAATTGACAAAAAACAAAGAAGAAGGCAAGCGCTATTTGCAACGCCGTGATCTGAATAGCTCCCGTGCTATTTGCAACGCCGCGATCTGAATAGCTCCCGTGCTATTTGCAACGCCGCGATCTGAATAGCTCCCGTGCTATTTGCAACGCCAGTACTAGAATCTAGATGTAGTAGCCATCGTTTCTACATGATAATATTGTAGTTCTGCCTGAATTGTGGAAGCTTTCTCAATTTTTTTGTAAACCTAGGATTTGACTCCCTTTTTTTATGACGTTGTCTTATTCCGATCAATATTGGGTAGATCTAGATCTAGATCTAGAAAAATCTAGATCTAGATCTAGATTAGATCTAACAATTGTTTCTGACATTGTTTGTACAAAAGTAGACGTCTTGTTCATCTCTCACAATCATAATCATTTGAGTGACAGTTTGAGCAAGTTTAAGTCGAAAGACGCTTGGATAATGATAACAATTAGACGGTGCAACTCGTTGAGTTAGGCCTAGAGAACGTATAGCCTACAAGCTGTCTACTGTCTACGTTCTGTAAGTCTAATGTTCAGTGCTTCCAAGCATGGCATGGAATCCCGGTCCCGGAAGGGTTTTTTTTCCTTCTCCTAGCCTAACAGTTTTTTTTTTTAAAGGAAGAGGCTAGCCGTACTTAATGACGGCTAGACTGGCAGTCTACCCGTACTTAAGTACGGCTAGACTCACAGTCTAGCCGTACTTAAGTACGGCTAGACTCACAGTCTAGCCGTACTTAAGTACGGCTAGACTTACAGTCTAGCCGTACTTATTCTTAATATGATGGCTAGACTGACCATTTACAAAAAATAGGCCTACTGAATTGTAAATATACATTTTTAGTGTGCAGTACCTAAAGTATTTGTATTTGAGACAAAACCAGGTTCCTTAATGACAGTGCATGTATTTTAAACCTCCTGTTTTCTAATGTAAATAGGGCCTAAGATAAGTACGGCTAGACTTCTTGTCTAGCCCTACTTAAGTACGGGTAGACAGCCAGGCTAGCCGTACTTAAGGACGGCTAGACTGTCAGTCTAGCCGTACTTAATATTGATGGCTGAATTGTAAATGAAAATTTTAGTTTGCAATGCCTAAAGTATTTGTATTTCAGACAAAACCAAAAGGTGCCTTACTGACTTGCATGTATTTGAACCTGAATAATAACTAGATCTAGATCTCATGAGACCTGTCCTGTGTACTTAACAGGATTGAGTCGATTGGGCCAAACCTAGATCTAAGTACGGCTAGACTGGCAGTCTAGCCGTACTTAAGTACGGCTAGACTCTCAGTCTAGCCATACTTAAGTACGGCTAGCCACTTCGTTTTTTAAATTTTAATTTGACTCACAGACCAAGGAAAACCACTACTGAACTTTAACCAAGCCTAAATTGGTAAAAGGAAAAGTATATGGCTTGGCCTACTTTGTACAGATTCGAGCATCTCTTGGGGGCAAAACCAGAATGTGCATGCTTCATCACTACATAAAAAAAACTACAAAGCAATAAGATATAATTATGGGAACAATTTGTTGGTCAGTCGAGAAGAGGACAACAACAACCCAAACAAAAAAAAAACCCACACTAAAAAAATGTATGGCATGACTTCAAATTCAAGCGCAGACGCGCTGTCACTTCGGCCATCAGAACTTCCGATAACGAAGTGCAGATTAAGCTTGATATTTTACACACAACGACACGTTTTATTTAGCACTGGCGCTAATCGCAACACGGCGTTTTATTTAGCGCTGGCGCTAATCGCAACGCGGCGTTGCAAATCGGCACTTCCAAAGAAGAAAATTAGATTTCCAAGTCATAGCATAAAAGTAAACTAAATTCGTTGTCTAGGTCTAGGTCTAGATCTAGATCTAATCTAGATCTAGATAAAATCTAGATTTCTAGATCTACAAAGTTGTACGGCTATTTCACTTTTCAAATCGAGACGAACTATGCCGGTCCCCATTTTGTTTTGCACGAAATTCTCGCTACTCCTCTCTTTCTCCCCCCACCACCACTACCACCACACACCCCTCTCTCACTGCCCGCAAACAAAATTACTCTTAAAAACGAGCGATGGAACGCTTGTTTACTGAACTGGTGTCACGGTGAACGCACACTGGGTGGAGAATAGCCAAAGTGCCCAAAGGCTGGCAAAGGCTAGCCCTTTCGGCGCTTTTTCGGTAGTTCCCACCCCGCATTTGTTATTCGCCGGTATTGGCCCCAAGGGCCAAGACCAAGAGTAGGGGGGTTTCAGGGGGGCTTGCCCCCCTGACCTAATAAAGACATGGTGGGGGGTTGCATGCCCCCCTGAATTTTACCACAATTTAACAGTTGTTAGGTTTGATATCTTAGCTTGCCGCGAATCAAACGTATATAATAGATCTAGATGTAGGTCAGGCTCAATCAAATAAGGGGGGTGGGAACTACCGAAAAAGCACCGCCCTTTCACCCACGCCCACAGATTAGTATTAGATCTAGATCTAATCTAGATTTTCTAGATAAAGATCTCTAGATCTAGATTCTAGATCTAGTGATCGGCCAGAGCCAATACACTCACTAACAGTAACGGAAGTGGCTATTCTCATCCGGGGTGAGAATAGAAAAACGATCTACCTTTCACCCCGGGTGAGAATTGCCAGCGCAGGCTATTCTCACCCGGTGCGAAACAAGACCTGCTCTTCCTCATTTTGGAATACTGTCTATCGGTGTGGATGATCCAATTGATAAAAGCCAAGAAAAAATTACGTTATTATAGCACAAAAGTAAGCTAATTTGATCGTCTTCAAAGATGCTATGGCTATTTCACTGTTCGAATCGAGCCGAACTACGCGGGTCGCCATTTTGTTTTGCCCGGAAGTTCTCGCAAGATCTACTCCTCCCCTATCTCTCTCTCTCTGTCTCTTTCTGAATACTGTCTATCGGTGTGGACGATCAAATTGACCAAAACAAAGTTAAAAAATGATGTTAAAACACAAAAGTAAATTAATTTGGTTGTCTACAAAGATGCTACAGCTATTTAACTTTTCGAATCGAGCCGAACTACGCGGGTCGCCATTTTGTTTTGACCGGAAGTTCTCGCGCTAGGCCTACTCCTCTCTCTCTGTCTTTCTCTCTCTCCACTGCCCACAGACAAAATTATACGCTTTTAGTAGGCTAGGCTACAGTTGTAATGGAACGTTTGTTCACAGCACAGAATTCTACAATGTTTCTGTTATCACAGTGTAGAATTCTGTGGTTTAGGGTGAACGCAAAATTTGTTGGCCTAGATCTAGGCTATAACGGTGAACGCGCACCGGGTGAGAATAGCCAAAAGACTCGCCTGCACTATTCTCATCCCGGGTGAGAATAGAGATGGCCAACAGTAACAGTAAAAAGTAACTTCTAAAAGTGAATGCACACCGGGTGAGAATAGCCAGAAGATTTGCCCTCTCATCCTGGGTGAGAGGCCTACAACTGCGTCTATTCTGACCCCGGGTGAGTGGCCTAGACCTGCGCTATTCTCATCCCCCGACAACAACAAAAATTTAAATCACGAGGCTGAGGGCGAGGGTGCATGAGAAGAAATGGAAGGGGGGGGGGGTTGAAAATAGCAGCAAAGTCATATCTTAGACCGATGTAAAACTCGAAATGGCTCTCTAAACTAACTGAGAACATCACTTGTCATAAATTGTATTCCTCCCAAGAAGCATTTCAAATTGATTTACAAGCAAGCGAGTGTATCAAGAGTAGATCAAGCGGAGTCAAGTGCAGCTTGAAACAAAGTCCAAGACCAGACCAAGACCGCAGGCAAAAACTCACCAGTCAACACAGCGGCATTTAGATAACAGGAGGATGTCTCACTTCACAAACACGTAACCGTGTAATGCATGAAAACTGTTTTCAGCCACAAGAATTTTCAGTAAACTTCAACAACATAAGACGAGCTACATCGCACAATTTCACACATAGAGCTCTCTGTAACGGTCCGAGGAAATGGACGCCATTGGCACATGAACATGAAGCTGGAGGAGAGAAAAAGCGTCTTGAGTTTGAGGCTGCCAGATTTTTTTCACAAGTGACATTCACTACGCACACCAAAAAAACACTGCTGTCGACCTTCCTAGGTCGATTTTCAATAGAATAGGCCTACAAAAATTAGGCCTTGGCATCTCTGAGACCTAGGCCCTATGTACCCGTGATTTTCTACTTCATTGGGGGGGGAGAGTAGGGAGAGGAGAGGCATGTAAACTGTTTTGAGTTTTTCAGAAGTAGTGAATGCTTGGCTTCACGGGGTTAGACTACGTGTTCATTTTTTTTTTAAATGTTCAATTGATGTGTAGTAATTATAATAGAAGACTTCGAGATGGTTGGGCCATGCGCACAGAATGGATTACAGTCACATGTATGGTTTGGAGAATTGTCTGAAGGGTAGCGACGTTGTGGAGGAAGACCAAAGCTATGTTGCAAGGACTGCTGCAAAGATACAACGAAAGCACGCATTTGATCCACAGAACTGGACAGAGGTAGAACTTGCACAAGGCTACGATAAATGAAGACGAATTAAATGGAAAGCTCGTTATCCGTCAATGTCCGACTGTGACCAATGTATCCACAGAGGAAAAGATTTCTCTAAAGAAATAGAAGAATTTGAAGAATTAAAGGTTCGAAACCTGACAGCGACGACAAATTTCCTTCTGTATTCCTCCTTTTCGGTTTGTCTTGTTCTGTCACTTGCTTTCATCCACTAACCCCCGCCATCTCCATTCGGCCTCCTCTCAGCTTTTTTCTTGACCCTTTCAACTGTTCTTCTAGTTCTTTTTTACTGATCACTTTCAGCCACACCCCTGATCTTAGGGCAGGTAAGATATCTAACACATAGCAATCTCGGATATATTGGGCGAAAAATCTCGGATAACGTGTGCAAGTTGTGTATTAAGGATCCCTTAGTGGCTCTTAAATCGTTGAGTATCCAAGATGTGGCTATAAGAATCCAGGCTTGGAAACATTATTTGCTTTTTTTAGGGGGGGGGGGGGGTCTGTTTTGAATTGGTTTGGGTTTGTTTTGGTCTTTTATTATGGGCCTTAATGTTTTATATATATGAGTATTTACTTGGTCATGGGTAAATGCTAGCGTTAGAGCGAGGCTGTTCACCATCACCAGTACAATCACTATCATCAACAAGAAAAAAAAATTATTGATCTAAAAGGCGGCTCTCGTGGCCCAGAGATAAGGTTTTAACCTCAGATTCAAAGGGTCCGCCGAGTTCGTTTGTTTTGTAAAGTGTTTTACGGCGCTCGCAACTGCATAAGGTCATATGAGCGCGCGGGACACACCTAATATTTTCA